TCTTCGTTTTAACGAAAAATGTTTCAAACAAAAGTTGTAGCTCTAGTTGCCTGATACAAGAAAGGTCCTATGCAATTTCCTTCTAGCTGTGTTTTAAGTCCCATTCGCTGTCCCAATGATTACACGGGCCACTCTTTATTACTGTCTCCCGGTGGTAAAACTTAAATCGATATCTCCGATCGAATTTCGACGCGGATTAAAAAGAGTTCTGGCGACGGCCAGTCGCGTCCTTAGTATCTTTTGGACTTTCCATATCCGAAGTGGAATGTCGGAGACAGGTCGACCTTCCATCCGAGAATTTTGCATCTGAAGGTTCGTTCACACCGGCGTTCCACCACGGTGTTTCATAAATAACCGATAAAAAGATGCCACGCTTCTGTATTCGCGGCGCGAGGATGCGCGTGACGCGCGAAACAGCTTCGCGGAGATTCCACGAAGGGGAAGAAGGATGGACTTGCCGTGCATATCAACGAGCCCGCCTTCCTTTGTCCTCGGGCGACTCCGAAATTCTCTGTCGGGAGACGTGGAATTTCGAGTGGACTCGCGACTTCGACATTTAAATCGCGTGCCCCGACGCCTTCACCTGCTCGGCCACCGTTTGCGTTCCGAGGCCTTCGGGAACTTGTTCGAAAGCACAGCGATTGCGAAAGGTTCACCGATTGAAATACCTGATCGTCGTTTACGATGTATTTAAAATTTATCAAATGTTAAAACTCATATGCGTGTCACAACTTCTACGATCGATACCGTGAATCGTTCTCTTTCGAAGAAAAACCTGCGGTTTGGTTATCGCGATCAATGTCGACGCGTTTTTAACGAGAATGTCAGGACGTTCCCATTGGAATACGACAGACAATCGTTCGATAGTGATCGAGATTAAGCAATTTGTTTATACCGCGGGTAGGCGTAGTTTCGTCACGAAAATCGTTGCGTTTCCAGTAGAGTGAATACAGGGGTGTGCCCACGCTGAACGTTTCCCACAAACGGAATGCGAGCGCGTTCCCATAATTCATTTTTATGCAACGTCGTCATCGATCCTCCCGGCTTGGAAAACGGCGGTCCCGTTATAAAATATGAACGGTCACCGGGCTACGTGCTTTTTCAGCATCGAGGACGGCCAGCGTCTATAGAGACACCCGCATCGAATCTTTTTGAACGCCTCCTTGGAAAGCCTGAGCGAAAGTATTTTGTTTTTGCATCGATCAACGAGTCGTATCTGGTTCTGGAGAAGTTCTCGCCGATCGGAGACCTTGAACCGGTTCAATCTAATTGGGTTCGAGCCTCGAGGGCAGAGATTTCCCGTTAATTAAAGTTGATTAAGGCGAGGCGCCATCGCGGAACACCGATCGCAAATATGAACAGAGTTCCTAAAGTTGCTTCTACGTACAGACGTGAGATCTGCAGACATGCACGAAACGACTTCTTACGTTCCCTTGGACGGGTTCTACCGTTCAATGAGATAGTATCACACACGATCTCCTCATAAATCAACGAAAACGATCAATGCACAGCCTTGATCTGCTTGAAAACAATTATTACCCAACCGTTCACCTGCGCCGCGAAAAATTGCGACACTCGTACCGAGAGTCTCTCTCCTCGGGTGCTCGATTTCGCAACGAAACGACGCTTCTTCATCGCTTGCACAATCCACGTGGATGCGTACAGACATCTTTGATTATTTACCACCTAACCAGTATGAACCCGTCTGTCCCGTTTGCTGTTTTCAACGGTCCCCACGATTTAGGAGAGACCCAAAGAGATCGGGCCACGGGTCTCATTCGACCGGTACTCGCAACCGGTTTCTTCGTTCTTATTTCGTTTATTCGCGGACGAAAAAGGACGTTCCCATTAAATGAGAAAATGCACAACGAATAAAAACGATGTTTGCGTCCGAATTTCAGGAATCCTCTTGGCCCACGCGTTCGCGGCCGAGCGCAAGCCGAACAGGCCGAAATTCAAGATCGCCACGACGTCGACTACGACTACGACGACTACCACGACCGAGGGGAGCCGCGGTCAGGAAAACGAGAACGAAGATGCCGAGGTAAATTCGTGACACGACTTTCTAATCACCTCCGATTGTTCAAATCGAGACGTAAACGTGATCGCTAATAACGATCCTACGAGATGCACCTCGGTTCTATTATCTACACAGAAATAGAACGGATCGTTCATCATTCGATGATGCAAATCCTAGTGATGATACAGTCACGACCACGCATCTGTTCCGATTATCCAGTTACATCCTCGTTTGCTTAACGAGCATACTGAGTTCATAGACAAATTGAATTAACATCAAAAGGCTCGCGGAATACCATGAAACGAATTTCTATCTATTATCGACAAAAAACTTGCCCATCGCCGAAGCAAGCGTGCTTTCTCAATTTTTCTTCGACTAATAATAATAATCGACGCGACTCACGGTGAAATTAATTAACGTCTAACCAGCGACAGGTTTACCTTCACATTTAAACTATGAGTGACATCATCCGGGAGCTCATCACTGACCGTTACCGAGTTAATTTACCGAGCGTTGAATAACCACCGCCTCGGGACGATGTTGCGGGCACCAAAAGCGACGCTCGTATATCTGACTGCCTCTCGTTTTAATTTTCCCCAGGCGACGACTACTGCGACGGCTAATACCGCAGAGGCGAACGCGACTACCGGGCACGTCCTTACGGGCATCCCGCAGATCGACTACATCTGGGACCCGAATCTGCCGCGCGAATTGAACGGGTACAATCTGAGCGATTACCCGTTCTACAATAGCATACCGGAGGACATAGACTTCAAGTGCGACGGGTTGCACGACGGATTCTACGCCAGCGTGCCTCACAAATGTCAGGTGAGAATGACGAAGCTTCTTCGTAATTGCACGAGTATCAATTGCTATTCTCGGCGACGCAGGCTTTCTCTTTCTTTCGACTATGTGGACAGCGCCGAGCAATATGCACGGCGTCTGAACAGCCATGTTAAAACTTCGCGAATATCTTGAACGAGTTTATTCTCACCGAGAGAGCTAAATGGTCGGGGGGCATGAATCGCGCGACAAACCGTGAGACCAAGGACGAACGGATGCACGTAGGCAAGCGATCGTTGGTAGCCGCGTCTAATCAGCGGCTGGCCATTTTAAGAGCGGATCTAATAAGGTCCAGTTTCTCGGGATAAATCAGTACATATCGCGGTCTGCACTTCCATATAAATCCTGTATCTGCCGTAATAAATGCGGAACACGAGAGTTTCGTGTACGCATGTTTCGTTCTGGAAACTCGTTCGGGACCGATCAAGCGTCCACTGCAAGAGTAAAAGCGGGCACCGTGACCGCTCTAGTGAAAAGGAAAGTCAGTGTCATCTGGACGAAAGGAGAAAGATTTTCTGACGTCGCGTGCAACGATCCAAAACTGAACCGCACGCGCTTCCCCTTACACACCCCGAGAAATTAATACAGGACGAGGTATCTAAAATCGGCCGTTGGTCACGGTCCGTAGACGACGAATTGTTGTACGCGGTACTTGTTGCCTGTATTTTGGAGCTTAGTCGGGAGGAAACGCGAGTTTCCCGTTAACGGCTGAGAGACTGCTGGAAAATAGAGGAAAGGGGGAGATTTTCGCGGTTCGATACACTTCCCGTCCCTGACCGTTTCGAGATTCGCCTATCTCGAGGATCGTGAAAGCGATTGCAAAGTACTTCTTTCCTTATCGATTGTCTTACGCCGAACGAGCCATTGTCATGCAAATGTCGGAGATCCGCAGGGCAGCAACACCGGATATCGGGCGAAAAATGTATCGCGCGAACGTTTTGCAACTGAACGGGAAAGTTCCGCTCGAACGAATTAGTAATCGGCGAGTTTCGGTGGTCAGGCTTGGCTAATTCTCGAGCACGTTTGACATTTAACGGGTTGAGCAAGATCCGCGATCTATCATCGTGAAACTCGAGAAGAACAAATTCGAGCCGAGGCCGGCTTCTTGTCATGCAAACGCGCAACGAGTCACTTCCTGCAATCTGGAACGGAGGACTTTCCAATAAAATTACCAAAGCATAGAGAAACTCGAGTTCGCTGAACGCGTTGAAAAAAATGTTCTTCACGTCACGAAAGATTTCGAGAACGATCAATTTGACGGAAGTGTAATCGACGGACGTCGTCTGGTAAGATCGCGAGAAGTTCGACTCTCGGAAGACGGCCGAGGGAAACCGAAACCGAAACGAGCGGAGACGTGCTCTGAATGATTCTAGATGATTCCTTTAGATAATCCGACACGACGATACGTGCCAGACAATCGTAGATACTTTTACAGACGCGAGTACACCTGTACGTGCAACGAGAGTCTACGACTGTGTACTCCCGAGGCAATTACTCGCGCTCACGTAGTCACGGTGTGAAAGCTACGGTCTAGCGTCGCATCGAGAAGTGTGTTAACATCGTCGTTAAATCAGAAATTTTGGCCAAACGATAGGAAGACAGTAAAATTTCACTCAAATTTTTATGCAAATCGCGAGACCATCGAAAATCTACTAATACTCCTCATTTTTTAAGGTGTATCATCATTGCCTCTACGGTACACGATACGACTTCCTCTGCGCGAACTTCACAGCCTTCGACCAGAAGACTTTCATCTGTCATTTCGTCTCCGAAGTGGACTGCACCAATTCGAAGAAGTATTGGCACAGAAACGATGCCCTATATAAAGCGACGACTACGTCCACGACGTCGACGTCGACGACGACCACTATCGCTCCGGTGACGACCGCTGCCGGACGTCAATCACCGAGGGACAGAGACCCGCCGCCGCGGAGGAGGAGACCGTTCAGAAGACGCCCGGCGTACGATTACTACGACGAAGAGTATTACGACGACGATTACAGTCGGCCACGCGGATATGGAAGGGACGATTATGATTACGACTACGAAGATCGAAAGTACCGGAGGGACAGAGATCGTGAGTTCAGGGACCGCGATCGTGACTTCCGAGAAAGGGATGCCCCGAGGCCTAGAGAGGGAGCACCGAGAGACGAGAGAGATCGAGACACCAGTGTCAGGGATCGATTTCCTAGTAGGAGCAATAGGAGAGATCCTGCGAGGCCTAGAAATCCTCTAGAAGAGGACACTCGAGTGCGAGCCAGAGATCCCGAAGGAGCGAGAACCGTGTCTAGAGAAGTGGAGGATACGGAATTAGACGACCGAAGGATCAGAGACCCCGAGGACCGTCGGCACTCCGATAAAAGGTATTATACTTCTGTTAATTGATTTAACACTAAATCTACCGACATTTTATATATACCTATTTCTACCGATTTCGGTCAAATGACCGCTTTTCAAATAAACATTATATTCTTTCTCAGTTGATTATAGATAATACAGAATTTAGCATAGGCAATAAAACACAAAATAATTATCATGTAATAATTAAATAATATAATAAAAAATAATCTCAAAAACGGTCATTTGACCGCACCGATAGGTTTTATGTTAATGATGGATAAAAAGAATACTTTTCCAGATACAGGGATGAGTATGAGGACAAGGAAGCTGCCGCTGTACCAGTAGGTGCGGCAACGAGTGGAGACGTTTTGGTGAAACCGTCGGCACCTGTGACTTCCCTGTACGCGAGGCCGAGAGCTCCGCCTAAAATTCGGAGACCCGTGCCGCTTTCCGAGCAAGATAAATACGCTTACAAAAATACTAACATTCAATCTACTGGTAATTTCCTGTCTTTTAATACGGGAATATTGTCGCAGGGCAAATTCGACAAATGAAATATTTATTTTACAGAGGAACCTCGCAGAAGGCCCATGGACGCAGAAGATGACTATTACGAGGAAGAAATGGAGGATCCAAGACCGATCCGACGACCGCTGAGAAGGAGACCATCTTACAGGGACAGAGACAGAGACGACTTTTACGACTTTGCGGAAAGGGACAGGGTCCGACCCCTCAGGTAAGATAACGTACGTACACAACACTGGTACAATTATCTTCGTTCGTTGTAACCACATCGTCGCAATTAACGATACAGCGAGACAAGTACATAACATCATACATGCCTTTAACAGTGCTTGAGCGATGACTATTTAATTAATTTACGGTATTAACGTTTCGCTTCAGACCTCGATATCGAGACGACGAGGACGATCCGCGACCGAGGAAGCACGATCGCCCAAGAGATCGTTTTTACGACAGAGATCGGGGAAGGGATCGAGCCCTCGATCGCGGCAAGGATCGCGCGAGGATGCAGGACGATAAAGAAAGACCGTATCGGCCGTCCGACAGGGAAATCGATCGTCCTAGAACCGGTTCGAGATCTAAAGATCTCCCAGACGCTACCGATTTACCACCCAGACGGGGCAATAATTATGAAAGGACTAGCACAACATCAACTACCACCACGTGCACGCCCGAGCAACTCGTTCACAAGGAATCGAGTACGAAGGAACCCGAGAGGTCAGTCCTTACGGAAAAGCCGAAATCAGTTCAGACTCCGACGACACAGACGCCAGTCGAAGACACGGAGTATCGACCACGTCAACAGGATTATCAGGAGAAGGACGAGGACGAGAGACAACAGGCTCATTACGAGACTGCTTCCGAGGAATATTCGCAGGATTACTACGACGAGCCTGAAGACCCACCCGCCCCACCGCCTCGAACCACAGTTCGCATCGTTAAACGACCCTTCTTGCCTTCCAGGGGTGGCAATCCCAATCCAAGGGGTCTGTCACCGGTCGGCGTAAAAGCGACCACCCCTAAGAGGGAGGAGGATAAAGCAACGGACAGACCATCTGTCCAAGAGAGGTCCAAAGGTTATTACGTGCACGAGGAGCAGGAAACGAGCCGCGAATCTAATCAGGAATCCAAAGTAGAGGAGAAGGAGAACTACGATCCATACAAAACTGTGCAAGTCGAAAATGAGCGCAGGCCAGAGGAATACGACACGTCCTTAGTCAGACCTGCGATTCGAAGACCTACCGACAGACAACGCGAAGAGGCACAGAAACCCGCGCTCGACGATTTTATCAGGGAATCGAAGCAAGACGATAGACAGAATTACGACGAGGGATTAGGCAAATGGCTCACGGACGATTACTCGAATCCTGCACAGAACAGTGACAGAAACGTGCAGAATTCAGGTTCTACGCGAAACACGAAGGGAAGACTGACGGTGAACGAGAATCCAAACACTTATGGGACCACGGGATTTAAGAACGAGGAGACTCAGGAGCACCCGACGGGTCCTCAGAGTTTCAGGGTGAAACAAAGGCTGAACGAGGTGACTCATCCTCTGCAGGATATCCCGGAGAGCGAATACGACGTCACTCTGAACGACGCGTTAACGCCCACGTTGAATCAGGAGACTAATTTGCCGAGTGGATTCGTTCTACCTCTCCACAGACAAATTGGCAGGGACGCGGTTTTGCAATCGTCTGAGAATAATTACAAAGTCTCGAGACCTGTGAGTAATCAGCAGCAGCAACAGCAAAAGCCGTTCGTGCCCAGTCCGCAATTTTTGCCGACCGTGAACAACAACGACAGATTGAGAACCGTGTATTACAGAACGCCCGAGGCGATTCAGATAAGCGGGGCACAGTACAGGCCGCAGAGAGGACCGTGGCACGATTATACCGGCTATTGAATTAAATTCTAAGTAATATTAAAAAGCTTTCAAACTTCCTCCGTAAGCTGTGCAAAAACAAGTGAGGTACACTCGGTAACATCTAATCGTACTTGAAGGAAACGCTTAAAATCGATGAGAGTTTCTTTTGGGATAAATGAATTTATCGGACCTTCGATCGCGTGGTCAAACTTTTCGATGTCTTTCATACGAGGAGACAGGAAGATAGTTTTCGTTCATTAGATATTTGAAAGTAGAAAACTAATCAAACGCAACGATAAAAATATTCTACTATGGATAATCTACTTTCTACTTTCGGCTCGACTTGTAAATAGGCGCACGATTATTGTCATTCCTAACAATTAAATTATTACCCCAAGCGTGATAAGCGTGTAAAACAATTTTCCACGAAAGCATATTCGTCGTCTCGATCGTTTATTTTCTTCTTCGTAGCGAGTAAGTTTTCTCGAATACGCATTTTACCTCTAACGCATTGTAAATTATACCAACCTTGACGTACGATATTAAAAAATGAAAAAGTATACCTGTTTATTTTTTTACCTTCATTTTCCTTTATTTCCGTCTTCATCGAACCAGCACGCACCTAGGCACACAGGCAAGAACACGCGCGGATGCACGCAACGACGAAGCTAAACGCGACAGGAGGAGGGAGGGGAATTAATGTAATTAAATGTACAAATCTTCTACTCGCCCAATTTAACTTTTAATATCCAAATATTTTTATACCGACTTCAAACTAACGCAACTGAGAAAAATGTGTTATATCATCATGAAATTTTGATAGACAATGTAGAAGATTAGTGTCGTAGCTATCTGCTTAACATTATTTTATCCAATATAATAAATTATATTGCAAAATAATGTAAATTGCCCGGGTCTCACCGCGTGGAGGTTGCTACGAAAGAGACCCACAAAAATAAATCCTACGATCTCGAAATTTATTAAAAAAGAAACAAACGTACAGGATAAATTGAAGAGGACATGTTAATGATCAATAAATTAAACACTTTTGCACTGTTATTTTCTTTATTTCCTATTTCATATTTATCGAAGTTGAATATTTACAAATTGTTCGTCGCGGTCGCTGCCGATCTAATTTCGGTGATACATTTTGTATGCATTTGTTAAAAGCGGACAAATTCAATTTGTCCACGAATCGGCTACCGAAGTTACAATGCAGAAAGCAACGTTTGTCCAAGTTTCGCTGCGTAAATAATGTCGCACCGTCGAAGAACAATACCTTCTCTGTTTACGATCGAAGACAGATTGTGCTTCTATAGAATGTGAATTATAATGAGTGGGTTCCGTCAAGGATCTAACGTAAAATACATCACAGAGTAGAATTTGCAACTCAACAGAGCCACGCGCACGCGGGAACAAGTGATAATTGAAGAATCGTCGAATCTGTGTAATAAAATATTCTCTATGAATTTCAATTTGGAGATGCGTGGACGTGACTGTGTTTGAAAAAATGGTAACAATTACAATTAGGTCTCGGTGGTCAAATCGTAAGAGTGTTTGCCTAAAAGTTGTAACGAGTGAAAAGAGAGCGATGCTATTTGCGATGTATCGCAGCGATACGTAACTAAGAAACAATAAATTCGCTAGTACCAGTTGCACCGTTTTCCCGATTTGTACCCGCGAACTATAAAAATATGGAATCTTGTCTCTCGCGATGCCGAATCGGATCGAGCACCGGCTAATTGCTATGTGATTTTTAGCTTTCTAGTGCGTAGTTCTGTACAAAAATGATAGAGTACAAGAATAGGTTAAATATTTATATATGTATATATATATGTGTATATATATACGATATATATATAATATATAAATCTCGCATACGTATTTCAATCATTTGTCGCGAGCCCTCATTTTTCTTTTAGGAATATTTATAGACGATGCAATTTTCTCCAGAATCACGATTAGATTATGCTATAGAAAAAATAATGATTGACTGGCAAGAATACGCAACCCGCGGAATGGCGGAAAGTTATATTTACAAATTTTGTTATATATTACAAAAAAATAAAACAGTATCGAACAAGAGATAAGACAGTGTAACATTGTTTTGGTATAAATGCAATCACTCCTAAAGCCTTGAGGTTTCTAGTCCAATCGCGAAGAAAGCTTACTTTCGACTCATTAAATTTCGTTTCGAACTTTTTACCGTTTCAATCCTGGAACCTTTATTCTTTGGTAAAGTAATGCACGTTTTGAGAGAAAGAACAAGACATTCGGAGAGGACGAGATATCCACGCGACACGACTCGATACTCGAATCAATAAAAAATGTTCGTATACTAATTGTCATATATTTAAAAAAAATATAATAATCGATCGCGTCGCGTGCACAAAATTCGATCGAAATTACAACCTTGTTAAGAACATAAATAGATACTAATTTTGCACATAGCAAGGCGGTTAGTCACCGTCCTTTATGCAAGATATTATTAACACGTGAAGTTTACTGACCAGCTTATTAATATCATCGTAAAAAATTATGCTTTCAATGTGTTCTTAAAAACTATTGAAAATGCAGTCGTTTATCCCGCATCCCTTACAACCATTGTGTATAAACATAGAATCAGTGATCGTACAAGTGGTAGCACGCTCATGCTTTTCTTTCTTTATAAAAAATAGAGTAATTTGTGAACAACGTAAGATATATCACGCAATTATTAATCGTCAGTGGGATCGCTAAACGAGGAGATTAAAATCGATGAAAGCATGAGACACGTCCACTTATGCTATCACTTTATTTTGCATTTAGCCTCTTAATTCAGTTCGCGACGACGTTCTCATGTACCTTGTACCTAAACTTTATGTACACAGAGTTACACAATATTGTTCCCCAAGCGAGACGAGCCTCAAGAATTGTTCAACGAGATCCCTGGCGAAATGTCTTTCAGCAATAGACAGTGGGTAAGAGCCCGTGAAAAATAAAAATACGAGAACTATTATTGCACGTGCAGTTTGAACAGAGAAACTTTCAACGCTTCATCTACATATCTGTTACTATTTATTACGTTCGATCGAGGGCTTTCCACCAGGGATTTGTATAAGCGGAAGATGAAACGATACCATACATTTTCATTGTGGTAACTCAAAGCTTGTCGATTCTAATTACGAATTGTGTAACTGAGCGTTTTCGATAAAAACTTTATACACGGCACACGCAGAGATAAATGAATACCTGTTTACGCTATCGGCGGATCGTCGTCGTCGTCGTCGTCTCGCGTGACTAGGACATTACCGTAACGATTTGGACGAAGCTGTCTCACCCGTTGTAGCAATTTGTACCGTCTCGCGACAAAGTATAACAGGACACTGACTACTACGAGGAAGGTCGGTATTAACAAACCGGCGGCTACGGAACCACCTACACAAAATTCAGAAACAATCTCATTTTCCAGATGTCCTGTTTTACTGTTACGTACTTCGTTTCACCGACGTACGTTCCTCAACAAAGAATTTCTATCTAAAATTGAACTTGTCAAAGTTTCTTGGATAACAATCTACGCTCTGGTAATCACGTATTTCATTTTTAATTATGTACAGCGCCCACTTATGTGGCCACAGTTGGGACCGAAAACGGCCACCTAAACGGGAAAGTGATTTCCAGAAATCGAAGGAGGCAAAAAAGGAGAAGAGATACCGATAGTGGCATCCCGAATGACTACGTTTACGACACAGTCTTAAGAATCGGTGGGAATAGCGACGGCCACCTAAACGGGCAAAATTTCATGTACTCACCACCTGAACTCTCCTGGGCGTCTGGTGGATCGGAAGTGACGACGGCAACGGTTGTTGCAAACTGCACACACTTCTCATTTTCCCGTTTGTAGCCCAAATTGCATACGCATTCTCCCGTGTCGTTCTTCGAATTCTGAAAGCATCTCTCGTTCTCGCCACATTGCAGTGTCACGTTGTAGATGTTGCACGATTTAATTGAGCTCGTCACGTTGCCTGCGAACACAGAAACGAACGTCCCTGATCGATGAAACGCTATCAACGAGTTGTATTGCGTCGAGATAAGATTGAACGCAGGGAAGGCCTTCCTAGTTGATTCGTTTAAACAAAGGTTAATGGATATGGATATCAGTCACGACGGAACGGGGGCTTCGCTCCGTTCGTGACGAATCGGTCGTTCAAGCATTTTAATACTGATAACGTGTGCGAGTCAATTTAAATGTATTAACGCAGATTTTATGGATTTACAAGAAATACTGCGTTCGATGTGCGGCAGACCAAAAGCATATACACATCCTTAATCTTAAAACGATATCAATTCCAGTTTTTAAATTGATATCGCAAATGTTTCATTTTTACACCATCTGGTCGTTAATTGGCTCGCTTGACGGTTTCGCATGAATATGTTGATCACGAGTTTGTTCGTCACTGCTTATCGTTATCTGTCGAACACCGTTATCTTTCGTTTCCTTTGGACAAAAGACATAAAGGCACCTCGGTGGTACCTTTGAGTGGTATCTTTGCGACTCTATCGACACTGCGAGATTGGCTGAATCATTTAATTGAGGCGAATTCATTTTATCAGTTGGAATACAAGGGTTAACTACGCCGAGGTTGAGCGAGACGAATTAACAAACTTTCTTTTGATTTAAATCGATGGTGTCGCATTAACTCGATAAGCTACTAGCATTCGCGGGCCTCAAAAACATCGGGAGCACGAAAACACTTCGATTCGTATATCACTGATGAACTTTTTCTGTGATAAAATTCATAGGTCAGTTGGACAATGAGAGCTTTCATTCGTGCATCTGTGCTTCGAGAAAAGATTGTTGGTCTCTGTATTGCCGAGGAAAGACACAGCCGAAAATAATTACGTAAAGTATATAAAATAAAATGTTGGAAATGAATTCCACTGGTTGGGAATGAGTGCAAATGTTTTATGTAAATACACCGAGAATTCTTTAACCGACGACACAACGTTGACAACCATTAAGTAAATTGTATCCACGTACAACATCGTGGAATAATTAATGGAATGGTTACATAGTTAATTTACTGCATATCTACTACGCCTAGCTTACTGTTTGCAAACATTATTTTGTACTATTACCACTGGTTCAATATAGAAAATTAAAATGCTATATACGGTTTTCGTTATCACGGTGACTCATTTCATTCGTTGTGAGCGTCCTTGTCACGATAAAATAAAAATGCCAAGGAGGACGATCTTTTTTCCCAAAAAATTCCCTCTTGCACAACCTCGTTATTTTTAACGGTGCAACGTTGCGAAATGACACGCTATGATATTATACATTGAGCGATCCGATGTGAGACGATTTCGCAAACACGTAGATTTCAGAGAAGCTGATAAAGCATCGCGTATACCATAATCGTGATGGAACATCCACAATTGTCGAGTTAATTAATTGGTCACACTCTAACAAGCTTCCGATCCGACAATTATTTATCTCGTATGATATTCCGTAGAATCTAATTGAAAGAGAAGAGGGAGGCAGGAATGCAATCCGTCGGATCGAAAAAGTGCACACGAGGGGACTAAATCTCTGGACCACGAGAAAAGAGACACGGGCACTCCGAGAGAAATGGGATGAAAGAAGATAGGAGGCGAGAGAGAAACCCGAAGGGAAGGAGGAAGAAAAAGCGGAAGAAGACTATTGTAGCCTTACAGGGGTGACCCCAATGATTCGGTTGAATGAACCAATTTCGGTCTCGCTCGGCCTGAACATCGGTTCGCTTGATTCGCTAGGAAATCGTTTCGGAGAATCCATTCGCACATACCTGATGCGTTAACGAATGGCGCTAGAAAAAGCAATGCCACGATGAGATAGCAGGAAACATCGGCTCGAAGATTTCGCATTTTCCCTTGTTTCGTTCACTCGTACCGTCGGCGCTCGGTCAGGCTCTTCGTGTCTACTCTATCTGTCGTTCAGTCACTATTCACGATCACATAATAATGAACGCGATTATTCAAAGGACACTTACGGTCGATGCGTTTGTGCCGCTCAGTAAACGCAACGTACAACGCACAAACGTACACGCACGACTATTCATCAATGTATTCGTTTAGATAACCTACAATCGTGGCACGGTACAGTCAATAGGCACGCGTTTGCCGGCTCATCGTCGAACGACCAGCCGTCAACACTTTTGACAGATAAATGCTAGGCCGCGCGGCGGAACGCGTTCAATCATCTGTTATTAAACGACCATTTGCTATTATCGAACTCAATTGGCATCGAGAGTCGCGAAACGTATGTCGACTTCGAGACATCGCGAGGACAAGATGGCGCTGTCCATCTTCGACTGGCGCCACGATCAAAATTCAATTTCATCTGCTATGCGAACATGTAATTTCTATCAGAAGAACGGTACAGTAAACGAATTGGTGCAATGAAATTTCATGTCAAACAATAATCATACACCCAAGCAATCGTTGAAGTTCGATGACTCTGGATCGAGTCGGAACGTAAACTATAAAACGATTGATCGCGTAGGAAATAATTTCACGTTTTGAAATAATTTTAAACTCGTGGCAAAACGTTATTTTTAGAGACGGTCTCTAGGCAGGAGCCGACAGATAATTTTGGCATCGAACTGCTAGAAATCGATTGCTATACAAGTTATTTTTAAAAAGCAGGATTTCTGTTAAATCGAGTCTAGACGTTTCGTGCAATTATTTCGAACGCCATCGCCGTGTAAATCGTGTTCCTTACTCTTTCATCATACGATCGAGCACACGACAATTCTCTTTAAACCTAACATTCAGAAATTAGAAAATACTGTCTATACATCGAAACGCGTAGACGCTTAGAAATAGTTACAGTGACAGCGGCACGTGTCATGGCTGTCTGTTGTCATAAACGTTAGTTGCGTACCCGTAAGTTTTAACGGAGATCGAAGGCTATCAGTTACTTATAATAATTAAAATGAGGGAGGACACCGTGTTGAGCTTAAAGTGGCACAGTTTCCCGTCGCATTTAGCCGTTTCGCTCGATACGTGTTATGAGAAGCAACAGTTTGTGGATCTTTCTTTAGTATGTAAGGACGGGACGATTTTAAAATGTCACAAGATGGTATTGGCCAATTCAAGTTCGTTCTTCCGTCGGCTACTCATGGCCAACGAGCATCCTCACCCTATGATCATTCTTCACGATATCGAAGCGGACGATCTAAAGACTATCATTAATTTTATGTACTGCGGCGAGATACAAGTTGTTCAAAGTGAGGTTAGAAGGCTGCTGAAACTGGCCGAAATTTTGGAAGTCACGGGACTACGGCACATTCAAACTTCCGTGTTAGGCGGTGAATCGAACATTGTGCCTCACGACTCGTCTAGGAAAACGACCACTGTATCCCGATTGAAAATCGAGGAACCAAAAAGTTTACCCACCAAAACAGTACCTGATCATGACCCGAATATTAGACAGCAAAATAAAACGAACAACCAAACGACGAGATTCCCACCGGCTACTCACACTCACAAGAGTGGAAATAAAGTTCCACAAGAAGCTGCCAAGAAAAGCGAGGAGGGTAATGTTAATTTATTAAATCAACGACTAGACACCGGGAGATCAGGGATCAGTATTGTAGACATTAACGATATGCCAAGTACCAGTAGAGGAATTGGGAACCCACCGCTTCAGAAGAGGAAAGAAGCTTGTGAACCTGTAATTAGTTGGCCCAGGGTTTTATCAGCTATATGCAAAGATAAGCCTCTACCCTTAAAAAAATTATGTATTATGGATGAAGTAGAAATCACGGCTGGCAAATCGAATCAACAGCCTCAAAGAAACGAACCACTGGACAGAAGGAAACAGAGGACTAATTCAGAAAGCAACGAATCTATGAAATGTGCAGTTTTCATAAAAGACGAAGTGGACATATTCGAGACAGAAGAAGATGCCGATATGGATCCCCTCGAGGTTGAAGAAATTGAGAATGAAAATGCTGAAATTTTGGCTGGATCATCTCAAATGTTTTCTATGAAAAATATGGATCCAAAGTTCTACAGTTCCACGACACTATCAGAGTATCCTCCAAGAAAGGGATCCAATGGTTAATGAATGAAACAATCACGTTCTCTAATTGAAATCATTGATATATGTTGCTTTGAATATAATACTTAGACTGAATAAACTCATGTGATTAAATACTTTTTTTAAACTAAAAACACTGCAAAATTTAACATATATAAATTAACCATAGCTCATCACATCTATGTAACTTGTTACTTTCTTACATGATCTTGTTCCTTTTATAATAAATCGAATTAAAATAACATATTTTATCTGTACCCTATCCTACACATGTATCCACACTCAATAAATGTATGTACGTGTTGCTATGGAAACGAATTATAGCTTAAGTTAAATCAATTTACTCTGAGTTTATCTATTGAAAGATGTATAACTCGTTGAAACATAATCAATTCGATAAAAATATGATAGAAGGTTCACAAATTATGGACAATCTGTCGGTCGACCGGCATGGAACAGAAGAGGAGTTCCAGAACTTTATGCAGCGTGTCAATGAAGTTGGTAAGTGTTAATCCTCTTGGTTACGAGTACAATTATCAAACAAATGTAATTATTTAAGAAAAAATTGTGAAGAAACTGGCATCTTCTGATCCCGAGGAACAAATACATGGGCAAGTATTGGCGGATGAAATATTAGAAAGCCGACCGGAACAAACTATTTGCGAAAACACTGAGTTAAAAATAAAAACTGATCGTACGGTGATTAATAAATGTTTGGTCGACGAAAATCCGGAACGAACGTCTCAAGGTAATTAATATCTTCAGTTTTCGTATTCTTTACGAAATCAAAGATATTTTTGCGTAGAGGTGTTTATGAAAAACGTAGAAAAAGATGCAAAGCAAAGATCGGAGGATCGGAAGATTCGAAACGAGCGAGCAGAAACGTTGAAAACAATTGGTAACGGGGCGTTCAAAGAGGGAAATTACGAGAAAGCGGTAACATATTACAGCAAAGCGATCGAGCAACGCAAAGATTCGGCCGTGTTATGGAATAACAGGGCTTTATCGTACATTCAGCTTGGATTATTTGAGAGAGCCTTGGCCGATTGTGAGTGGGCATTGAAAGTGAATAATACAAATTTAAAAGCCCTCCTGAACAGTGCTAAATGTTACAAGCAACTCGGAGAAGAGACGAAATATAAAGAGTACATTCGATTAGCGAAGGAAAGAAATCCACATTTCAATAAATTTATTAACGGTACGATAGATTTACATCGCAAACGTTTCTGTTACAATTGAGCCATCGAACTTTACTTTTTCAGAATTCGAGGAGAGCCTGGATATGCGTTTCAATCATCTAAATTGTAATAAATAATCCTCGTGTATATTTCTCTTGTAACAATTTAAAATGCATTTATAAACAATATCAGGATGGACTTAATTTCGTTGCATACCCTTCTTTAATCTCTGAGAGAGATCTAGGTTCGTGCAAAAAGACTGTACATTCGATGCCCTAGAAAAATGATTACTAAAATCGTCTGAAACTGTTACAGCCTATGGATACACCTAAATATTTGTACCTGCATACGAGCTGCTCTAACGAATCCTTCGTTCGCGGATACTATGATGCTTTTCATATTTTCCCCCGTCGCAAAAACTAATCTAGATCTATTCTTAATTTTACCGCCTAGACTCAATTTCTCCATTATTCTACCGGTTGGTACATCGTTGACAATGCGTACTTTGCTCATTAAGTCTTTTGCCCTGGCAGTCTCTCTGGGCCCACCGATAACACCGATGATGTTCATAAAATTTTCATACGCAGTCTGACAAACGATCAGCTCTTTCCCTTGAAACAGTTCCTCTAAAATCGGTTTCACCGGCCGTTTTCTTTCCATCTCTGCTTGTTGCGTGAGCAATGGTTCCTGATAAATAAACTGATCGTACCCATTAGTCATGTTCGTCACGTATGCCAATAGAGTTGACACATCCAAACTAAGAAGTTTTATCTCAGTTTTTAAAGAAGATGCATTAAAAGCAACTAGATCTGAATTTACGCTCACAGATTCCTCAGCGGTTTCTAAGGGATACATCTCCGTAAATAATTTGTCCCCATTGTCTGCCTCCAAAAAATAGACACAATAATGAGTACCTCAAATGATATCGTTCATGCATTTAAGAGTCTAGTAAAAATTGATACCATGCACATCTTTACATTTTATTATGTCCCCTTCAATGATCACTCCCATTTGCTTTAAACGTCTGGCCAATGGAATTTCTATACCATAAGCAAAGTGAAATACAACATCAGGTGGTCTATACAAGTATAGATAACATTTTGCACATTGCAAGTAACTGGAGGCCTGATCGAGCACAGACTTTTGCCCATATTCTCCATTCCCCATCGAAATCAATGTGAGAGCTCTAGCATTTCTAGCAATAACTTTTACCCATGATGCACCACCATTGTACACTATATCTACTTCTAATCTCGACTTCTTATGCTTAAAAGGTTTCATAACATTGGTGGGTTGATTAACACAGAAGAGCCGTGTTACGATCGCATTCAGATGAATCAAATTTGTGCTCTGCAGATGTTCTTTCTTTACGTTTCCTGTACATTGTACCTTTATGAGAACATTTACAGCGTTACAATCATGATGTTCGAACGACTTCCCGATGTTACAGACACTGATGAAAGATGTAAGCGTATACTTTGAAACTCGGCGATGATTTCGAGGAGACGTACCTTTTCTAAAAACCTAATCTCTTGCTGAATCTTTCGTATCAATTTCTCAACCCCGTCAATCTTTCCCAGAAGTTTCAATCGGTCTACCGTGGCCTTGCCACTGTTTATCTTTTCCTCGAGACATTTCAACAACTCGACCTTCTCCTCCATCCTTCTTGGCCAAGCAATTCTCAAGTACTCGACCACGAAGGATCGTAGTTTTTTATGACAGTTCTAATAATTTCGAACAGCTCACGACCGACGTACGTAGCTTTAGTAGCCATCTTGCATTAAAGCGGGACGTCGCGTAATGTCCGTCGGATCGCTTGTCAAAATTTTTCGCTGCTGCTTTTATATATGCAAAGTAGTCGCGTAAGTTTTGTCCAGTACAAACAATTTTTTATTTTGTTTGTTAGTCTTTCGTTTAAAAGGTGCAAAGGGCAAACAGTCGAAGGGATAGTATATTCTGTACATCCGGTCTTAGAAATTTTCGAGAAACTTTTTTTAAACTCCTAGCAATTATGCATGCATTTAAATCATAACTGATGCCGAAGGCACCGTAATTGATAGGAAAGTTAATCCTTGTAAATCTTTGATGTATCGTACACACGTAGAGCTTGTCTCGAGAGATCAATTTCTATCTCATCTCTGTGGTAATTGCTACACGTGGGAAAAAATGAGACAGAATGTCTTCCCTCCTGGGAAACGTTCCTGTGTACTTAGAGTACACATTAGCTCTACAAGTATGCGTATGCACCGCATGTTTTAACCGATTAATAATGTGAAGGAAAGCGGTGGTAGACAGGATCAAAGAGACCGCCTGTTCTTTTGACAATACTTTTCCGAGTAGATGGCGCTTAAATGATGTCATATGCCATCATCAATCGCACGTAAGGTGTTAACCTCACAAACTTTTCTATCCGACCGAATAATTGACAGTCAAACATGATACACACATCGTGACGATATCATGCCGCAACGTATCGTGGGAAGTGCCAAGAAGCGATCGAGAGCAAAGCTAATTCGCGAGTGTAAACTCTGAGAAAACGAGCATTCTTATCAAGCCGTAATTACATTCTCGCCCTGTCAACATTTCTCTGACAACAATAAAGAATATCGCGGTAGTTAAGTTGGAAAATGTCCAGCGCGAAGATCATCGAAAATCCAGAAATACCGGGTGAGTCTCGATCCCTGGGAAAACGAACCGTCGCCGTCGGTTCGCGTTTTCATACGTGCCCTAGCGAATCTATTGAAATATAAGTAAACAACTATCGACAATCCTCCATATACACCTCGATCCTTAAAATCCTCTACGTTCCATTCATGCATCCGTAAAAATTTAAACGAAGAAAACACGTACGTGTGGCATATCGCTTGCGAGCGCGAATATGCGAGTATCGTTATAAATAACCGGATACATCTACATCGATCAATTATCAAAACAAGCCGCGGAATACGCGTATCACGTCGTCCTGCGAACACGTGGAGTTCCAAGTTAAAATAGGAATCAAATGTCTCTTCGTTTACCGTCGGGTCGAAATCAGCTGATTGCTGAAAATATAAAATAACAGACACGTACGAGCCCGGCCAGTCTCGCATTTTTACGGATACAACTCGGGTTTAACATTTATGAATGGATAATAAATGAAACGTCGGCGGGGAAATATGAACGAGTTGTACATTATTCGTATCGCGTACTATCGTTTCGGTTACCGGTCGGACGGAACGTGATACGATTGTTGATACTTTACGGCGATTACATCGATCGGCACCGCGTTCGAGCCGGCTCGTTTCGCGTGATGCGTACTAATTTTTTCGTCTAATTTGCCTGATACATCACCGCCGTTATCTCGATCGCGTAAACTTAATCGCGGGTGCTGAAGCAGCTCCGCTCGGCCCTGAGAGCGCAGGTACGGTATGTATGCACTCGATAAGCGAAATGAGCGTGCTGTCATCCTGGCAAATGTATCTGGGATGTTACCAGTAAAAATGACCGACATTAAACCTTTTATGTACGCGAACTTGTTCGAAATTAACAGAATTAGTCTCAGCGTTACAACCGATTAAATCCGATCTTACACTGGCCCTGAAAAGTATCTGATTTGCCCAACGTCTCATTAAATATCTTACCGATGACAATTGTATATTCTCATTCTGTATTTTAATTATCGTTCTTACTAATCCGCCCAACCTGGCTGTTCCACAAATTCCCATTAATTATTTCGAACAGTGTATAAGCGACATTGTTTAAACTCCGAATGCTTTTTATTGCCCCAAATTTAACCACGTGTACTTGTACGTTTTGTCATCGAACTTCGTAAACGGTTTGAAAAACTCTTAGGATTAGAATGTTTCCTGACACCGCCTCCTCCGCCTCCACCGCCTGTTGCAACGACGGAGAGCAACAGCGTGCCGGTTGCGAACGAGCAGCAACCAATATCTATAGATGCAACTACGACCAACGAAACCGCGGTAAATGCAACGACGACAGTTCAAACACCGTTCCCGGTGCCAACACCGTACGTGATGCACCCGATACCATCGCAAACCCCTGGACAACCGACGCCCTGGTGGATACCGACGGACGCGGACACGACGGATCTTTACGCGCGATGGTACGACACGACCTACAAACCAGTTGCTACGGTTGCGTCGTCAACGGCACAGAACAAAGCCAAGAACAAGTATTACAAGCGAAAAAACGAGTTCATCGATCCCGCGCAAGATGCAGGTAATTCGAAAATGTTTCCGCTGGCTGCTGTGAAAGTAAAATGCTGACAGAAATTGAGAATTTCATTTGTATTACGTCTAGACTGTGAATTTCGCTGAATGTGCAGAGCTACATTAACCAGAATATCAAAATACACTTCTGAAACTGATATCGTATATGTTTTATTTTGCCTAGAAATCCACAGTCTAATTGTGTCACGTATCATCGAGAAATCAGATTCCAGATTCCTGCGGCAGTTTAGCTAATTAAACATTGATTTATGTTTCTATTTCGTAGAGAAAGTTGCGAGCGCCCAGAGGGAACTGTCGACACTAATGAAACCGCTGAAATGCGATCTGTGCAATGCAGTCGTAAGGCTCGATTACTTTAAACGATACAAAAACTCTGTTGAATGTCACCTGAATTTATTTAACGTTAACACGCTGCGCACCATGCTTGAAAGAATGAACAATTTCAGATGAACTCTACGTTACAAGCGAAATTGCATTACGACGGAAAACCGCATCAGAAAAAAGTTTCTATGTTTCTGAACCAGAGCGTAAAGAGACAAAAGACCGAGGATGGCCAAGTGACCAGTACGACCACTGACTGGCAGAACTATTGCGATGTAAGCAGTTGGAACGTAATAATTTAGGCGACCGAGTGAACTCGCGTTTCGTTTACAGATCTGTAAGACATGGTTCACGTCGCAGACGGACGCGACGCAACACTACGCTGGTAAAAAACATATTAGAGCGGCGAACGGCGGACGTCGTGCGAGGTACACAGATGTATACTTGTCTGAAATTATTCTTAGAATGGTAGCTGTGTCAGACAAGATCATCGTAGCAGAGCGTTGAATTCTGCAGGCCATCGAAGAAGTCGCAAAATCAAAATCAATATCAATTAGATCCGAGCGGTCGATTCGGGATAGGGTTGGCTTTTCAGCCAGAAGTGCAATCACCACCGGCGCAACAGCCGACAGTACCTGAAGGTGCCAGCCCGGCAGCGGCACCAGCCCCGGGGAAACCTCCAGGGTCCATCTACACCCCTCCGCCGTACCCAACGCCGTTGCGTTGCGACCTGTGCGGAGTCTCGGCTAATCGCCAGGACCAATTAGAAACGCATAAGCGAGGTGCCAGGCATCTGAGAATGCTCAGATTAAACGGGTTGCCCGTGCCCGAGCTTGGTAAGTTAATGTCGCGATATCGAAACGGTGAAAAAAATTCTTACGGAGAAATCTCACTTTCGTCAATTTTTATATTTACCGTACGGATTTTGTAGCTAACGAAAGCGAGGCGACACCTGCCACTCCTGGACCCATAGATTACTCTATTTACCGAACACCATCAGGTAAGATACGCTTCTTCAAACGAAGCGATGTTGTCTAATCCTCCTCGAACTTGTTTTGTTTGCAGGCCAGTATTATTGTGCACCGTGCAATCTATCTTTAAACTCCGAGAGTACGTTTGCTCAGCACGTGGAGAGCAAGAAACACAAGAATCAGTCGAACCCGAAGTCGCCGTCGAACGCCGTGGTGGTATCGAAGAAAGCGAGATTTAAGAAGAAATAAGGCCACGGGGACTTTGTATACGTGCACAGGAGTGTACGTTTGTGCACACTATCTCTTTGTTTGTCCATTGTTTTCATAAAAATGAACATTTCCCTATCGTTTCTTTTTCCGCGGAGGTATTGTTGTATTGAGATTACGCACAGGGATCTGTGCCTAAAAGAAAAGGAGGAAATAAAAAACTGTTGTTCGATACTGTGCCTAAGAGAGTCGCAGGAGTCAGTGACCTCTAAGATCGTTACTAGATTATAGATTAATGCGAAGATAGATCGGATCGTCGCGCGACTGATGAGGAAGATAAGTCTGTTAGAGAACGTATTTAAATTAAATACCGATTAACTATAAATTCGATTCGGATAGACGCGGTAGCTCGTTAGCCGTGTCGGAGGCTGCGCGACTAATCGGCCACATTTATTCAATTACGAAACCATTAGCCTCCCCGCCGTTCGATTCGCGAAATCGCGCGCGCTCACGCGCGGTTTCTCGCGTCCAAGTGAAATTTATGCGTCGACCTTCCACGGAAATTTATGGCCACGAGCGAACCAAGGCGGCAGCCGGACCCCTCCTCTATTAATTACCTCCTAAGACGTTGTATGACGGATCAACGTTTTCAGCCTGTTTTTACTGTCACTTCCTCGCAACGAATATATCTTTTGACAACGGTTTGGCCAAATAAAAATGTCGATGCGAGGCATGAATCAACCAGCGAGAAACCCTGGAGCTACATTCACGGTGTCCAAAAATGGCACGACGGAACATGAAAGCTCTTTTGTCTTAGAGAAAGAAGATCGCGACGCGGATGCTGCATAGAATTTTTCGAGGGAACGAAATTAGTCGTCGTTAGCCAAAGGAGGAGGAATTCTTTTGTAAAAATTTCCCAAGTACCCCGAAGCCATTAAAACGAGGATATGAAAATGTCTACGAGGGACCAGTGGTTCTCGCTTTGCCCTGCATTCCGCTGATTTTCAAACAAACTCGCGGCTCGGCAATTTACCCAGCTATCCTCGTCTCCCACTTCTTTTTAAATTTCCGAAGCTTCAATTCCCGCTACGCCCGGAGATTAGGATCGTCCTCGCACGGACTTGTAGATCGTTGCTTTATACCTGCGCTTCGGATTTTTATGACCCCTGGTTCCACGTTTAACGCGTTCCGTTCTTTTTTTTATTCCTCTGCATCCTCCCACTTCACGACACGACCGAAATCCCTCTCCCATCGTCTCCTTCTCTGCGCGCTGCTATTCCTTTCTAACACCGAAGGAATTTGATGCGACGTAATAGAGCAGAAAGGACCAGGGAATTTCTCGACGGAAGTCGATTCGTACAAAACAATTGTGGAGCACAATGGAGACGAACGACAGAAATCGATTTGTCACGGCGGGTGTAATGCGCATGAAAACTTATTAATCACCGCGCGTCCTCTCAGAAATTCGATGGAATTTCTCCGGATGACTCGAGGGAATTTCTGGAAAGTCACAAAACCCGATACGATCGCGCAATAAATGAGAGCAAACGATTGAGTATAAAAAAGTTTCCTAATCGGATCGAACGATCTGTCCACGATCGGGCTATAATTCAATAGGTAATGAACTCCTCTACGGTGAAATAAATTATTGTAGGTCGTATAAAACGGTAAGGATATAAAATATACGGCGGGTGGTTATGGAACTATTCACGCAGAAATCCTCTTCCGTACACGCGTGGATCCACTTTATTAACGTATCGATCGGGGATCGTCTCGGACGTTAAACATAAATTTCTGGCACCCTGATTCTGTACAAGTTTTGTACTACGTCACAACTGTAGAAACGGTCGGAAGGAGTTCTATCTTCTATTTGTCGTCGAGATGAGGATATTTCAAAGAAACTAAATGTATACAAACAATTTTTTGTAGCAGACAAGGGTCAAGTTGGACGGAGGTTTAGAAATTAGGTTGTTAATTTCTACGATCGATGCGTTGACCGAACGGCTCTAATAAGTACGTGGCTCGAGCCAGCGGTTACGAAATTCTCTTTTCACGCGAACCATCGTTTCTAATTCCGCTAACGAACGGCTAACTTTGTTAGCGCGAGGAACGGTACGTACCGGTGTCGGAGCAAGAGCAGCCGCTCCTTTGTTTCGCCGAATCCATTGTTCCACCTGAGAATATGAATCGGTAAAAAACGGCACGGAGCCGAGAGCCGAACGGGAACGCGAGGATTTCTTTTCTATCCTGTTCCCCTGAACAAATTCGTACAATTATTTCTCGATTAGGCGAGATCGTTGCCCAGGCCAGATTACCCGACCCGTATTACACGCACGAGAAAAACGAACGCTAATCGCGGAAATTTCGCTCGCATAACCAGTTTGCCGGTCGTAATTATTATAATATTTCATATAGCAATTCATCCAGCAATTGTTGGACCATTCGACACAATGTTTGATACAATAATTCGTATAGTGATTGATGCTTCCTATAATGGTTGTTAATTGTGCGTAAATAATGATGCAAATGGGTTAATAAGACGTTTTTGCGGGCGAGCCTGTCTCGAAAGGGGTAACGCGACGACGACGTACGGATGGGAGAATAGGAATAAAAAGTCGTGGGCGCATCTCGGTGGGGCTGACCTTGCAGGTCTTCGCGGGCCACCAATGTAGACTGACAAGAAAATAGAAAATCGTGGCTGCTCCTAAATGCGGGCGGTGTGATGTCATGCGGAAATAGCCGACCGTCTATGTATCCACCGACAGAGAAAGGGTAACGGGGAATCTTGATCGGTCGAACGATTATACGTATAGTTCGGGTACCGGAGGACCCGATACGTTTGCCAACGAAACTTCGTTTGCGAACAATAATCCCTGTCATTTTCCGCTCGATTTTCTTCTTAACCCTCCAATCTTTCCTATCGTTTATAGCCTAACGCGATCATCCAAGCCCATATTTCTCGTATCCCAAGACTACTCTCATTAACATCACTTTCCTCAATTAATTCCCTACTCTTAATGTAATTGCATCGCTGGCGAGGGCGAAGATAATAAAACTACTGACGTGCCATCGAATCGTACGGCACGTAGACGCCGTTTCATATAAATCCAGTAAATGAAATGCGTATAGAAAAATGTATTCCTCCCTTGCTCTTATTCTGCTTAGCTTTTATCCGACTCTAACTCGTTGACAGAATTAACTCACCAGTACGATGCACAATCGCGTTGACCGAACCTCTGGCTGATTCCGGGAATCCGATCGATGCGATAGGAACGTTTACAGGATCCGCCAGATAACGATTGCTTCGGTAATGACTCCCACTCCTGTAATCTTTCGTCGCGTTAGCAGTTCGATTATCACTGATCGCGAAATACTTCACGCAACTTTCAGTTGCAGTTGAATTTATTACACAGTGATTTGCCGACAACGCGACGTGAACACGCGACAACATATTCTGCCGAAATCTGGTAAGGATCAGGCCATTCCGATAATTCGATATAAATCACGAGTCTGCGAAAATAAGTATCGTCTAATAATTTCTCTTTAACCGTAAGTGACACTTTAAAACACAATTAGAATCTGTGGACTCACCACTGACGTTAATTAATAAGAAGCAATCGACGACAGTTACACGGACAATGAACAAAATGGTCCACTTTTAACAGAATATCTGAAATTTCTCTGTCCCCTATTCACGGCAAACTGACCTCTATCGATACTATCGATAGATGTCCACAAATCGATGGACGAGTCACACGATACATACATCATACATACGCGTGACCGGGGGGAGGTATAGTTTCGTAGGATACTTTCGGAAGGACGACGAGTTCATTTTACTCATCGTCTATCTTAAAAGTTACAGGTAAAAATAATTGTATATTGCATGAAACATGTTTTGAAACATCATCCTAACGTTCAAACCAGCTGTTGTGAGCATAGATTCTGTATAAATACGAATAATTATATCAGTATTTCGTTTTCCGAAACAACAGGTTACCAAGGGTACGGGCGCCACAATCGTCTTTCTGCGAAGTGGACCAGATTTGCAGCATCGAGGATGGAGGAGCATGACAACGGGGAAAGAAACTGAAGACGAACATCATTGTGGACGGCATCGATGGAAGTCATTGTTCGTCAGTAACATCACGGGATTAGGTGACATATATCGATCGAATTTCATGAATCGATCGAAGGCATTCATCCCGCCAAAAATTAGTCGCATGGCACTGTAGTCGCATCACGTGACCGAAGTGGGGCTAGTTCCATAGATTTTCGAAAGGACGATATATTCGTCTTTCTGGTCGTCAATTTTACAAATTTCAGGATATAATTATAAATTGTATCTCATAGACCACGCAACATCTTCCCAGTGACCGAAACCAGCTTGTATGAATACTAACTATGCGAATACAAATAATTACATCAATTTGCATGTTTTTAAAGCCAACAGGTTATCGAGCGTAGGAACGGCATGATCTGCGAACTTTCCGCGAAGTTGGTCAGGCTTTTAGCATTGAGGGAGGAGGAAAAGGACGATGGGAGTCAGCTGAAAACGGATTTCGTCGTGGTCACCGTCGATGGAAGTCACCGTTCGTCCGGTTCGTGTTCGTGTTCGTGTTCGAGTTGGAGTCCGGGACTTCGCGGATGTGTACGGGAACGCTGTCATACCGCCGGGACGAGAACGCATGCGCGCGGATTACACTTGACGGGCTCAAAAAATCAATGACCCCGCTCAGTCGTTGGTAAGATCGCATCTTTTTATCTAGTATCATAGCATAAGAATCGGGACTGGGACCGAGCTGGAGGGTCGCGCGGAGGACCGGAGGACCGATCAGAACGAGAGGAAGCAACGTTTCCATCCGGAACAGGGACGAGAGGCGAGAAAATGGACGGCGAGGCAAGGGTGCAGCCCCGATGGCGGCGCTGGTGTAAACCGGCCGAATAGCGGTTCGGTGAAACCAGCCGAGCGACCTCGGCTCGTTTCGGCTCGACGCGTTAGTTCGTGTTCTCTCGCAGCACACGACGGACGTACCCTCGGACCGCGACGGGTCTCGCGTTTTAATATCGGAGCAACGAAGGTATAAAAAAAAAAAAGAAAAACTAACTGTTACTTTGCCAACGTGGTAGCGATTCGGTGGTTACCGCGGATAAACGAGACATTGTGCGACATTTGTTGACGATAACAAGTCGGAGAACGCGCGTCTCGACGCACGAGGTCGTACAGTGCCCTGACCGGCGATAAAGTTTCGGAGTGACTTGTGTACGGAGAAAAAAAAGTGGTGAACCGGAGAGTGCGCGAATACACACGTCCGTTGTGCTACTCTGACGGGTTCGAGGAGAGAGCAGAGGGTCCGGTCGATTGGATCGATTCTGTCCGGTACGCGGTTCGTTCGGTGAATCGTCAAGGGAGAGTAAGTATATACGCCGTGGTAGCCGTCGCCGCGGTGCACCGTCCGTCCACCTTTCGCGTTGCCGCGAGTGCACGGGATAAAATGGCGCTTGCTTTCGTCCGTGCACCTCTATCGACCGTAACAAACAATTCGTCGCCGGAATCGTGGCCACGGGAAACACGACAATTTTGAAACATCGTCCGAGAGGCTTCTCCACCTCTGCGCCCGGAACCTTCTTTTGTCTGCTGCGTCGCTGCCAGCCACGAGTTCCGAAGAGGATACCTGGAGAAAGACGATCCTGAGTGAAATTTCGGGAGTCCTGAGGAACCACACGTTGTTCGCAGTAAGGTGAGTTCTTTTTCGTACGATACAATACGATACTCTCTCGGGACTATCGCGATCTCCGCGATACCAAGTTATTACGTCGAAGCTGGTCTATTGTTAACGTTGGATAGCATTTGCGAATTGCGATACTCGCGTCACGAATAAATACGGTAACCAGCGTCGAGGGAAATGTTCGTTTTCCGTTTGTTATCCGCGGCTTGCGACACGGGAGATATTAACGATCGCAGTGAAAGGCATTGATTCGTTGAACCTCAGAATGCTGTGTCAGGAGCGTGGATTCCGCTCGAACAGGTTTGCCGTTTCATTCGCGTTGCCTTCTCCGAGCTGCCGCGAAGTAGCCAGCCGATTTATAATACCGATCCCCTTTGGATATTCATATTAGGACGCGCTAAGTATGTTCCAGTGTTAGCGAGTCCTGAAAGTATTTGAAAAGGCTGAAAGTTACTCCGTTTCAACAAGTAGCGAACGATCGATAGGCCGATGTTCTTTTTCTTTCGCTTTGGACGTTTTCGGACGTTCTTTTTTTCGAACGTGTCCCAGCGTTAACGATTCCGTAATTATGCAAATAAATCTGAAAGGGTTGGAGTCGGCTGTTTGAAAGTCCGAGTGACACGCACGCACACGATGTGTACATAGGTAACGCGTGTGTGCACAGTCGCGGTAGGTACACACGCGCTTTCGCACGCGCCTAAACGTGCCAAACGCGCGGTTCTCTCTTCGTACGCTCCGGCTACATACATGTACTACTCGGAAAATGACAGGCCATCGGTAAGCCGGTGTGTTTGAGCTCGCAACCTCCTCGTGCAAATATTTTGCGCGGGCAAACACTCGCCATGACGGATCATGCCCTCTCCTAGAAGCCTTATACCCAAAGAAACGGGATACATCGTCCTGAATTTTGCGTAATCCCCGCGAACAAATTCGTCGCGACTCGTTAACGCTTCCTCTACCCTCGCTCGAAATCTGAGAGTCGTAAATCATAGATGGAAAGAGGAGCCATCGATACATCGTCGTTGGATCGCGTTGTAATCAGATTCCATTGTATATGGCAACGCGATACCCTTGTACTACCTCTGGCGAAAGGTTTTCCAACAATGTAGTGATAATAGAGATTGGGTAAGAACCCTTGAAAAACAAAAAATTTTTCTATGGTGGTCGAACCGTTGTATGTTCCGTTCGTCGGTCAATTTATTACATTTTTCTGGAGTAGTCGGTAGGAGGGAATTGTTATGTGGGCAATGGGGCATCGGAGCAACAGGGGAAACGAATTTCGGTGGGTCAGGATCGTCACGAATAGCAGCTTCGGGGTAGCTGATCGCTATCGAGATGGAGCATGTCGTGGCCAGGTAGAATGGTAAAAAAGGCAGCAACCCCAGTCTACCTGTTGGCATCAGGTAGCGTGGTAGTTTACCTAAGCCAGGCTTATCGAGCCCGTCACGTCTCGGGACGTGACGAAATTGTAGGAATCCCCGTGCACAGAGTTTACGAATCGTCTAATTAACTGTTCCGACTTAACAATTAACGTTCCTCGATGCAACCTAACGGTTGCACGCACCCGAGCGCAGTTTATTTGCATAATCTCGTGGTCGCTAAAATGCGAGTAACCTAACACCGTGATCGATGGGACTTCTCGAGTTTAATTTCATTTTCTAGTATTCGGCCGCGTGCCGGGAGACATTCGTTGTAATTAGCCTCAATTTGGAGTTCCGTCTGAAGCCCGCTAATTCGTGGTACATAACGTTTCTTGTCTCCTCTTCCCGACGTGAGAACGAATCCTCCGTGTTTGTCTCCATGCTTCTGGCACCGTCAGATCTCCCCGATAATCGTCGTTCACCGTTAGACGAAAACGATCCAAGAACCGGCAAACACGATCAATGAGAAACCGTATAAAGTCACGTTGCAACTTCCAAGTGATAATACCTGAAATCTCCGGAAACTGTCCGACGCGTTTCTCTCATGATTCGATTGAAACATGACGTTTTCCGAGAGAGGAAAACGAAATTGGTCATTTTTCGAATAGATCTTGTGAGTCCGACGGATGGGAAAAGCAATTTCCGGTTGATATCGAGGAATCGGGCGATTAATTGTGATCAGCGATATTGTTAGAGCCGCGGTTATCGTGTGCGCGTGTGATTGGTTAGGGATCCGGACACGTAGAGTTCTGCGCATACTGGTGCGTAATTGCATCGTGAAAGTGTTCCAAAGCGATCCTCGCTGTTGGAAACGCGTCGATCGAGCGGTTGGCAGACCCGTGGAAATAGTGAAAGTAGTGCAACCACCTGGCTCGTCCTTTGAAAACCACTTGTACCTTTGCCCGTGCTTCTTTGTCGCGCTATCGAGTTACGCTTCCCAGGAATCGAACTCAACCCCTTCCCACGTGCGCTCCGCTGGAAATTGTTAACGCGAGCTAGGAAGCGGAAATTTTACTCGCGAGGCCCGTCCCCCTAAATTACAGCCAAAGATTTCGGTCGTCGACGAGCCGATTCGAATCTCGTTTTACGTTTCCAACAGGTATCGTAGATCTAATCTCGATGATCGTTGGGGATCTAGGATTACTCTGTACACTCCGGTGCACCGGATGTGTGCTCGTATCTCCCAGATTGCAAGGTCGCATTGTGCGACTTTCCTTCTACGTTGATAATCGCCAGACCGATAGATACGATGTATCTATTCTTAGAAGCCTGAATTGATTTCATATTTCCCAACAAACAACGACCCACGCGTAAGATCGTTGCTACCGGAATGCTTAAGGATGTATTGGCTATACAGTCAATCCCAAAAGTTTATGTACCTTAGAAAAACGCATTTTCTATAATTAAAAAGAAATCAGACGTCGGAAGAACAATGCTAATAATAAATAGCTACGTGCTAAAAATTATAGAAGGAAATATCCAATTAAGTATTGACGCTGACGA